ATGGAGCCCACAACCTGGGCATGTGCCCTTGACCAGGAATCAAACCTGGGACCATTCAGTCTGCAGGCTGACGCTCTATTCACATAGCCAAACCAGCTAGGGCTTTTTAAAATATATTTTTATTGATTTTTAAAATTGATTTCAGAGAGGAAGAGGGAGATAGAAACATCAATGAGGAGAATTATTGATTGGCTGCTTCCTGCATGCCCCCCTCTGAGGATCGAGCCGGCAACCCAGGCATGTGCCCTGACAGGGAATCGAACTGTGACTTCCTGGTTTATAGGTCGACACTCAACCACTGAGACATACTGGCTAGGTCAGTGATGGCGAACCTTTTGAGCTCGGCGTGTCAGCATTTTGAAAAACCCTAACTTAACTCTGGTGCCGTGTCACATATAGAAATTTTTTTGATATTTGCAACCATAGTAAAACAGACTTATATGTTTGATATTTATTTTATATATTTAAATGCCATTTAACAAAGAAAAATAAACCAAAAAAAATTAGCTTGCATGTCACCTCTAACATGCGTGTCATAGGTTCGCCATCACTGGCTTAGTCGGACATCCTTAGCGCTGCTGATGCTCCTGCGCTGAGCATCTGCCCCCTGGTGGTCAGTGCACATCATAGCGGCCATTTGGTCTATTTGCATATTACCCTTTTATTATATAGGTAGGATGACGCATTCAGGTAACATCTTCCACACATAACACACTGTGATATACGGATATTTTCGCCACCCATCCACCACCACAGCACGTAAGATGGATGGGAAGCGATTCGTGTAATTTAGATAACTTGTTTTATGTCCTATCATTTAAAGTAAGACGAGTACAGACTTGGGTCCACATGCCTAGGGATATTCAAAGTGAGAATATCTCCCTCCTATAGTGCTCCTGGGATTATGCATCAAAGGTGTGTGGAGCTGTTGATTGGCAAGGAAAAGCTCTACCATAGAGGCCTCGGCCAGAGGAGCCCAGCTGCGTTTCAAATGCGAACACCCGTGCCCGGCTGGTGTGGCTCAGTGGTGAGCGTCGACCTATGAACCAGGAGGTCACGGTTCGATTCCCCTTCAGGGCACATGCCCGGGTTGTGGGCTCCATCCCCAGTGTGGGGCGCGCAGGAGGCAGCCGGTCAATTATTCTCTCATCATTGATGTTTCTATCTCTGTCTCCCTCTCCCTTCCTCTCTGAAATCAATAAAAAAATATATATTAACAAAAGAAGTTAAGTTCTATTAAAGAAATAGAGCTTTTCTTACACACACACACACACACACACACACACAAAACAAATGTGAACACCCCACATGTCCTCTGAATTGGGGGTTAGGATGGACAGTCGAGTTGCTCTCCCCAGCGACGGACACACGAGGTCCACGTAGCGCATGAAATCTACTCATTCCCGGTAGCCACACCCAGATGATGATGTAGCGCCTGAATATGTAGCTTTGAATAAACTTTCCTAACATGCTCACTGAATGAATCGGGTTTTGAATCTGTCCCTCACACACAGGCGTCCAGGGCAGCCCGAGAGGTGATCCAAACTGGCCTTGCATGATTTGTTCCCCTTGGCCTTGGCCTTGGACTTAAAGAATGACTCTGGAGCCCTGGCCGGTGTGGCTCAGTGGATAGAGCGTCAGCCTGCGGACCAAAGGGTCCCGGTTCGATTCCGGTCAAGGGCACGTACCTCGGTTGCAGGCTCCTCCTGGCCCGGGCCCTGGTTAGGGTGCATGCAGGAGGCAACTCATCAATGCATTTCTCTCACATCGATGTTTCTCTCTGTCTTTCCCTCTCTCTTCCATTCCCCCTAAAAATCAATGGAAAAATATCCTAAGGTGAGGATTAAAAAAAAAGAAAAAACTGACTCAGGGGAAAAATTGAATGGAGAGATGTGAGCACGGGAACATGGGCCTTTCTGATTCTTTACATGTTCCGGCGGCCTGGATTTATTTTTTTATTTTCTATCTATGGTTATTGGTGCTGGTGGACACCAGAGGGTGCCCGGCTGGGCCCTCCCTTCAGTGGATGACCTCCGACATCCAGGTGGTTGCTGGGTAGGGAAGGAGAAGGGTGTCAGCAATTTCCACCAGACCTTCACCCTCACACAACATCCTTTGGAAAAGGGTAGCTTTCTTGAGGTTGTACACCGTATCATTAGGCACCATATAAAGTATACAATTCCATGGCTTTATCTATTCATAGATATGTGCAACCACCACTGACATTTATTTATTTATTTTTCTTTATTGATTAAGGTATTACATATGTGTCCTTATCCCCCCATGGCCCTCCCCCAATCTCCCCACTCATGCCCTCACCCCCCTACTGTCTGTGTCCATTGGTTAGGCTTATATGCACGCATACAAGTCCTTTGGTTGATTTCTCCCCCTTCCCCCCGCCCTCCCCT